GAAGTCTACTTCAGAAGTCTACTCGAGACAAGAGAAGTCTACTCGGTTGAAAAGTTATATGATATAAATGAGAGAAATGTCCCTCTGAATCACTTTTAAGTTATGTAAAATTAATGTCTTTTAGAAGTCTACTCGAGACATGAGAAGTCTACTCGAGACAGGAGAAGTCTACTCGAGACAAGAGAAGTCTACTCGAGACAGGAGAAGTCTACTCGAGACAAGAGAAGTCTACTCGGTTGACAAGTTATATGATATAAATGGGAGAAATGTCTCTCTGGATCACTTATAAGTTACATAAAGTTAATGTCTTTAAGAAGTCTACTCGAGACAGGAGAAGTCTATTTTGTAGAATAGATAAACATAGATAATTTAGAAATTTGATACAAAACATTCAATGCAATTCAACATTACATAGAAAATAACTCTCTAAACAAACAAACATTTAAGGATCACTAGTTATAAATCTTAAAACTGGCATAAGAAATTACTAGTAAACTAAAATCTCTGAAAATTATGTATGCAACTGAAGTCTGCTTGAGAAGTCTGCTTAAGATCGAGAAGTCTACTCGAGAAGTCTGCTCGAGATCGAGAAGTCTACATTCAGATCTGCAGAAAAAATCAACAAAATTCAGCTCTGTAACGATAACGAAAAATTTAGATCTAGAACAAAATCTAATAAATTTATACAACAATAAACTCAGATCTACAAATATAAACTTAGATCTACAACAATAAGCTCAAATCTAAACTAATAAGCTCGGATTTATAATAATAATCTACTATATTTATAACATTCAGATCTGTACAAAAATCAACAAAATTCAGCTTTGTAATAATAACAAAAAATTAACAAAATCTACAAAATTTATACAACAATAAACTCATATCTATAAAATTAAACTTAGATCTATAACAATAAGCTCAAATCTATAATAATAAGCTCAGATTTGCAATATGAACACAAAACAAACAAAAAGAGGAATACAAAAGCTCAGATTCGCTTACCACTACTATAACCTGCAAGTGAGAGGAGGTTGAATGCAAGATAGAGAATATGGAGAGGATATTGATAGCAGGAGAGGAAGGAGAAGAAATTCATGGCCAAAGAGAAGGGAGAAGAGAGAGAGGCGGTTTTTTAGATAGAGAGAGGCTTTATTGTTAATACAATTAGGTTAAACTCTCCTTATATATGTAGAAAAAAATTCGTGTGAGTAGACTCCAAGAAGTCTACTCGAGAAGTCTACTCGAGAAACCAAGAAGTCTACTCGAGAAGTTTCTTAGTATTGATTTTTATCATAATTTATCTATGATGATTTAAATTGATTATTTTCAGTCAAATTTTATTTTTAATAGGTGTAAAAAAGTATATATTTGTTGTTATGTATCTAATTTTTTTATCAAATTATCTTTTATGATTTTTAAAATTAATTATAAATATAGTATTAAAGAGTAGACTTCTTGGAGAAGTCTACTCGAGAAGTCTACTTAACTTCTCGAGTAGACTTCTCTGGGATAAAATAGTAATTGAGGTTGGCGTTTTTTTGTTTGGTCATAAAGGTTAAAGTTGTAATTTTACTACTCCTGTGAGTTATTTTTGTCAAACATGCAATAGGGGGTCTAGTTTTGCATTTCAACTCAAGTTTTGAGTCATATTCAGCAATTCCGCCTATATATTTTGGTGAAATTTTATAATTAAATTAATAATATATATTATTTTATTTTTAAAATAGTTTCTTAACAAAAAAACATATTAGTTTTCCTTACATGTTGAGTTTGTAAAAAAAAAAAAAAAAAATTTGTTGATGTACATGGTTAGAGAAGTGTTTATGATATTCTCTTTTATATAAAATTATATATACTATTTTTAAATATGGAAGTGTAATATATTAATGTTTAATATAAATTTATGCAAGTATATTTTTACATATCCATGACTATAATGATGATTCATACTATAATGTTATGCTTAAAAGTATTTAGTCAAAAATATAGGAATAGTATGTACATAATCATACATATTTGATGTTTTTAGTTAATGTGTGAACGGACTTAATACCTCATAATATTATATCTTAACGATTTTTAGTTTAAACATGTGATTATTATTAATTTGGGCTGTAAGAATTTAAAATAATATATATAATATAATTTTATTTTTGATAAATCAAGTTATAATATGTCATATGTTTTGTTACCATAGTACATACAATTTAATCAATATTCAAATATTATTATTATTAATTAACACTATTTAATTTTAAGCATGTTAATAATATATTAAGAATTATTTTTATTAAAGGTTTGCTGATGTGGCATGATTATAGAGATTTGTTTTTTGCTGATGTGGATGGCTTTAGAAGCCCCAAACTTCTCCTTATTCGAATCAAGTCCAAATATTTATACAATTGATCCATAATTAAAACTAAGTGATACATTTAAACTATTGCTTATTTTCAGTTAATTTTAATTATGGGTAGATTACTGTACGTAGTTAGTTTACTTGTAACTAGGGATGTTGTTTTCATAAATATTTAATTATTATTTAAGTAAAATTACTTTATTTGTATATTAATATTTTCAATATCATTTTGATGTAGTCATACATCTAAACCATTTTAACGTATTTGAAAAATGTATTATGATTTAATTTACTAATTTGATATATGTAAAAATTAATTGTTAATCTAGAAATTAATATTTATATATAAATTCATTACTGCTCACCAACTTTCAAACTACTATTAAAATTAATTTTTTTAACTAGATTGATATATAATTGAACTTAACAACTATAAGTTTTCTCTCTATTTAATTTAAAACAATTTTTTCATTCAAAAAAATAATTTATCAAACATATGCCTATAATTCAAACACCTATATTTTGTTCCAATTAATTTAGATTTCTTGTCATTTAAATTGTGTTCGTGTAATGATTTTTTTTTATGAGCAGTCTTAAATACAAAACAACAATCAATGTTCAGAATTCTTACAAATCCGTAAAAGAACTATTGTTCATATAAATAAAAATAATATTTATATATTATACAAAATCACAATCATATTGATAAACTGCATTTTTGATTTGGACTATGAAGCATCTGTAAATGATAGAAGTGTGATAAATAAAGCAAATAATACATATACAAATACAGATTCATACTATCTTATTCTATTAAATAAAGTTTAAGGTTCATTTGCATCTGCTTATAATTTAACTTATATATTTTTCTTACTCTACATATATATTTTAGTGAACTTTTATAATTAAAATAATAATATATATTATATTATTTTTAAAAGAGTTTCTTAACCAAATAAACCATATTAGTTTTCCTTACATGTTGGGTTTGTTAAGATTTTTTTTTGTTGATATAGATGGTTAGATAAGTTTTATGACATTTTCTTTTATATAAAAATATATATACTATTTTAAATATGGAAGCGTAATATATTAATGTTTAATATATAGTTATGCAAGTTTATTTTTACATATGCATAACTATAACGATGATTCATACTATACTGTAAATAATTTAATTTATGTCTAAGTGTATTTAGCCAAAAATAAAGGAAATGTATGTACATAATCATACATATTTGATGTTTTTAATTATTGTGTGGACAAATTTAGTACCTAATAATATTATATCTTATCGATTTTTAGTTTAAAACATATGATTATTATTAATTTAAGTTGTAAAAATTTAAAATATTATATCTAATATATTTTTCTTTTTGTTAAAATCAAGTTATACTTCATATGTTTTGCTATTATAGTACATACAATTTAATCAATATTAAAATATTACTATTATTATTGATTAAATACTATTTCATTTTAAGTATGTTATTAATATACTAAAAATTATTTTTATTAGAGATTTGCTTATGTGGCATAATTATAGAGATTTTGCTTTTGCTGATGTGGATGGCTTTAGGAGCCCCAAACAATCCTTTTCATTTAGTATAGATACATACATGTAATGTTAAAAGATTCGTTTAAATTAGAAAAAGGGATAATTTTTGAAATAACTCACTTACAATTTTATTATGAAACATGACTCTTCCATAAGAGGGGTCCACTTGTTTGTTTTCAGTTTGCCATTAGTCTACCAGTAATTTGCAATTAGTCTATCATTAGTCTGTTGTAGTCTACATTCAATTATTTGATCAATCAGTCTGTCAGTAGTCTGCATTCAGTCTGCCGTTAGTCTGTCATTAATCTACAAATAACAGTAGTTAAAATAGTAGCACTGATATTTATAAAAATCATAAAAATAAGTCATTTTCATAATTTTCCCTCAATAAGATACTTATTTCACATTATTTATCATTTTTGGTCATTTTAGAGCATTTCTTCGAAAAAAAACTATATATATTTACTTCTTGATATATCTAAACTGTTTCACAAAATCTAACTAAACGACAATCATATTGTTTGACGTGATTCTTCGATTATAACAACTAGTATATAATAAACTTGACAATGTTGTTTATATCAAGTTTTTTACAATGTTTTTATATGATATTTGAAACGTTGTTAATTATATCTTCACATTACTTTTTCCCTAATGTAGTAGTTGTATCAAAATGTTAGTAGTCAGACTTGATTAATAAACTATTCATGATGGTAAGATCATAATGTTTGTAGTCAGACTCGATTATTCAACTTTTGATGATGGGAAGATCATAACTAATATTTGTAGCCAGTCTTCTGTCTTGATCAGTTAATAAACTCTCCATGATGTTTTTTTTTTTTAACACCTACTCTCCATGATGTTAATAAAGTAAATTATATGTAATTTAGACAAAGAATACTTTTAAAACCTATCATCAACAATGTAACATTTTTATTTAATAAAATATAATTGGCAATGTTATCAGGATGCCGATTGACTACAAAACTTTCAATAGAATTATTAAGTATATAAATGCACATTTGGATTTGACCTGTAGTATACATATATGGAATTTGAAAATATTTGAATACGACTGGATCAAAAAAATAAGTTGGGATTTGAAAACGTATTTCTCTACCTATGTATATATCCCAACATTCACATTAATTGATATCAATCATCAATCAAAATTAAGTCAAAAGTATCATCAAGAAGAGATATATAAAACATGAAACTCTTGGGAAAAATGGTTTATATAAATGTTTTGATGACGGTAATGGCGATTTGGTTCGTGTCCTTGAGTTACGGTCAAGGAGCCGAGTCACTAATGGCAGGTGTTGTAGCCGAGGCACCAAGGATTGATGATGCAGCCGACTCACCTGAAGCTGACAGACTCGACAACGGTTGGTATGACGCACGAGCCACATTTTACGGTGACATCCATGGTGGAGAGACTCAAAGTAAGTTTGCGATTGCGTTTACATTTTTTTATAATATAAAATATGTGCTTCCCCCCCCCCCCCCCCCTCCCCCCCCACCCCACAGAACATTCTTACAAAGTTTGCATTTACAATTGACCAAGGAGTTTGTTTAAAAAGAATAATATAATTCAATAGATTTTTGTTCGAAAAATTATTTCAGTAAAATTCTAACAAATAATTACAAAAGTAAACAAAAAATCAAAGCCATTATAATCTTTATTAATTATTACATACTCACTTTTTCATTATATATTTCAATAGAGGGAGCTTGTGGATATGGTGATCTATTCAGACAAGGCTATGGTCTAGCCACGGCGGCGTTGAGCACAGCACTCTTCAACAACGGGTACACGTGCGGGGCTTGTTTCGAGATCACGTGCGCGCATGATCCACAATGGTGTTTGCCCGGATCCATCAAGATCACAGCTACAAATTTCTGTCCACCTAATTACACCAAGACCGTAGACGTTTGGTGCAATCCACCACAAAAACATTTTGATCTCTCCCTAGCAATGTTCCTCAGGATCGCCAAGTACAAAGCCGGGGTTGTCCCGGTTAGATACAGACGTGTTCCTTGCTCGAAAACCGGTGGTGTCAGGTTCGAAACTACAGGAAACCCTTGGTTCTTAATGATCTTGCCATACAATGTAGGAGGAGCCGGAGATATTAAGGCCATGCAGGTTAAAGGAAGCAGAACCGGTATGGATAACCATGCGGAAGAATTGGGGACAGCACTGGACCACCAATGTTGTGTTGACCGGACAAGGTTTATCATTCAGGGTTACGACGAGTGATGGGGTTACTATGGATTTTATGAACGTGGCGCCACATAATTGGGGATTTGGTCAGACTTTTAATGGAAGGATTAACTTTTAGGAGAATGACTTGAGTTTTGTTATCTAAGTCTTAACACAAAAAGAAAACATAGATGTATTACCCGGTAAAACAAATTTACAATAATTAAAAATAAAATATAAACGAGAACTCTTTAATTTTTGTTTTATGTTGAATTCATGCATTTGAAAAAAGATTTCATGCATCTTAACTTCATACTAACTAAGATGTAACCCTCCTCACGCGTCTTTTGACATAGTATTTCTGTTTGGTTCGGTGCAAATTATTCAGTTTCTTTTCCCAAGTATTTCTTATAATCGCTTACAACTCGCACACGCATACTCACACAGACACACTCTAATATCTAATATGTATTATAAAACGACGGCTATATAATAATACAAAATCACTTTCCTATGTTCCATCAACATCTAATAAAAAGATCGTAGAAGAACCACAGATCGTTGAAAAAATAAAACAAATTGTAGACGGCAAAAATGGGGCAAAAATCAACAAACAAATTGTATGATTTGGCTATATCTTTGATACGATATGAGATGCAGAAAATACTTAGTGCTATTAACGATTTCTACTTATCAACCAATATATATATACAAAGGCAAAATTTGACTGGTTTTTTTACATATTGTTAACACAGTAATAATAGAATGACTTTATATATATATATATATATATACTTAATATATTATTAATGTATGACTACAAAAATTAGGTTTATAGCAATAATACTTTGAAAATTATAAAACTAACAAAGAGGAAAAAAAAATATATCATAATTATCCTTTCCATTTATAATTAATTACAAACTGCAAATGATCAGCATTTTTTTTTGTTTTTTACATCAGTTTGTATGCGATATTGTCCATCAGATGCTGACGACACTGTTTATCCAGATGCAATTAACAAGCTGTGTTTTTTAATACCTATTTGATTAACATGGTAAATAATATAGTATTGCGATTAGTTTAATAATATGTGTTATATTTACTGTATTATATCAATTATTTTTATACAAAATATAGAATATCAAATTAAAATTGTGACTTTATAATTTTTTAATGTATATATCAGTTTAACTAAAAGGGAGTAGGCTTTCTCTGACATGATGAAATTGCTCATATTTTTATTTATAGCTTATATGTTGTATACTCATATTTGCATTAATATTAATCAGTCAGAGTTTAAGTAAAAAAATACTAGTAACATACACAGATGTTTTGATGGTGGTAATACAAAAATGAATATAAAGTTTGACCACATAATTACCTTATTGAATTATATAATCCTATATATATACCTAAATCAAGTAAAAAAGTATCACTAGAAAGAGACAAAATCATGAAGTCTTGGAATAAGTGATATATACAAAAGTTTTTGCAAAAAAAAGTACAAATTATTTACTAATCAAACAAATACACCAACTTGTATTGGCCAAACTATTTTAGATATACCAACAGTCAATTGTAACCTGAGTTTAATACTGTTAACTGAGAATTAATAATCTGTTGATCTCATTTTACTAAAACTTAAAATATTTTAAATTTAAATTAAAAAGATGATTTTTCACTAAAAAGAATGTTATTTGACACTGATTTTAATCGAACTTTGGTGGGAGTAGAATTTTAGGTGAGTCTCAACCACTACGTACGGCTTAATGGAGGTAAGGAATCGAAAGAAAAGAAAGATCGGGTTGTGACAATGACCGTGAATGACTAGCTCCCAAACGAAATTATGTGAACCGAGTTGTTGTGAAGTCTTCATAATCTTAGAGTACGTGAAATTAGTGAGATCAAGTTGGGATGCGGCGGAGGTTTACCGATCCGTTACTGCCATTTAAAATCTACGAACGATATCTAGCTGTTGACCTGCTGATGTTTCAGAATTGAAAAAAATGATGTGCTCATTGATAAAGACGAATGAGTCTTGATAAACTATAATTATTGTAAAATAGAATTTTGTTGGCTCTGGTCAAAATGGTTGAAACTTCTAAGTGGTTGTTGAAATCATAAGGTTCAATCTAGGAAATAGATTTTTACATACCTCAATTGTTGCATTATGTCCAGTTCATACCTAAACTAAGAAATTGGTTCAATTCATACCTTACTTTGTAATTTTTATCATTTCATACACAAACTTTAAAATTTAGTCAATTTATACATTGACGATTAACTAATGATGATGTGGATGACATATCACCATATATGTATGAGTCAGTATTAATGAAATATACTACATCATATCTTATACATACAGTACAGTCAGTATTAATGAAATATACTACATCATATCTTATACATACAGTAGTGACCAGTCTACGTTTTAGAAACGTTTGGACTATCTAATATTGTATTTGACCACTCAGTCTTTACTGTCGCTTAAATTAGATGATGTGGCCACATCGCCAAGTAATTAGAGTGTAAGCAACATGTAAAGTGCCTCTGGTATATTAAGCTATTTGAATTTATTCGAATCAAGTCCAAATATTTATATAATCGATCCATCACTAAAACTAAGTGATACATTTAAATTATTGCTTATTTTTAGTTAATTTTAATTATGGATAGGTTACATGTATGTAACTAGTTTACTTGTAATTACATACATGTAAATGTTAAAAGGTTCGTTTAAATTAGAAAAACTATATATATTTACTTGTTGATATATCTAAACTGTTTCACAAAATCATACTAAACGACAATCATATTGTTTAACGTGATTCTTTGATTATCACAACTAATACATGTTATAATATAAGACTAGATGTTGGATCTGCGCGCCCGAGCAGGTATATGATTTTTGAAATAAATTTTATAAATATTCAAATTTTGTGGTATAAGATGGATTATTATATAAATTATGGTATTTTAATAATTAAATAAAGTAAAATTTTAAGTAAATAAATATAATTATTTATCATTTGTATATATAATTATAAGTAGTTAAATAAAAAAATTTTACACTCGAAATATATTTGTCGAATATTTTAAATTAGATGAACAAAAAATTGGTGATTTATTCTTACTAAATTATATTTTGTGTTGATCGAGATAATTATCGACTACGTAAATGTATGCGCATCTACGGGGGAATGAAGTTTTTTAAAATAAAATTATTTAATCTACAAAATATGCTATGAGTATGAGATTTATAACATGTTGATTTTATAGTTATGTTAATAATAAATTATCTTTTGTGTTATGAGAATTAAATTAATTTTTTTAAGTATAAAAAATTTAAGTTGAAAATAAAATAACATAAATTACGTGTAACTTATTCAAATACGTTGTAGTTGTAGATATGCGAGTTGTTATTGTACAAAATTATATATTTTTAATATTGTATTTAGTTTTTTTTTCTCCTTCTCCTTTCCATTCTTTGTTCTTATTTTTCTTTATTCTTATACTTTGTTTTTCTTTTTCGTTCTTCTTTTCTCTTCTTTTCTCCGTTCTTTTTTTTTCTCCATTCTTTTTCTTCTTCTCTGTTCTTCTTATCCCTCTTCTTCTTCTTCTTCTTCTTCTTCTTCTTCATCATTCTTCTTCTGTGTTCTTTTTTTTTTATCTATATATTGTTCTTGTTTTTTGTTTTTCTTCTCTTTTATCTTTTTTTTTCTTATTCTTCTTTATCCTTCCTTTTCTTATGTATATTTTTTTCTTTTTTTTCTGTTTTTTTTCTTTCATCTTTTTTTTCTATATTCTTATCCTCTTCTCCGTTCTTTTACTTCTTCATCTTATATGTTCCTTTTCCTTTTTCTATGTTCTTTCCCTTCTTCTTATTTTTTAAAAAAAAATAAACTAACCATAACTAATTTGCTCATGTTTTATTTTACTGTTGTTTCCAAACCCAACTTCTATATTTATTTGTTTGGCAATTCAATTGAAAAAAAAATTTAATTTTTGACATCTTAATTCTTTTTATAATTTAGTTATATGAATAAGAGTATATATTAGTTAGTTGTATATATTTGTTCTTATATTTTCTATTTTCCCTTTTCTGTTATTTTTTCTCTTTCTTTTTCCTTTGCGTGGGCTAATATTTTTGTATTTGGTTTTTTTTCATCTTCTCTGCTGTTTTTCATCTTCTCTGTGGTTCTTCTTCATCACTTCTCCTTCGTTTATTTCTTCTTTTTCATCCCTTCTGCTCTTTCGTTCATTTTCCTTCTTCATCACTACTTCTCCTTCTTCACATTTTTTTCTCTTTTTTTTTCCTTCTTCTTCTTTGTTGTTAATCTTTTTCATCCACTCTTATTCTCATTCATCTCTTCTCTTTATTCTCCTACTTATTCTTTTTCTTCTTAATCCGTTCTTCTTCTCCTCATTCATCTATTTTTTTTTTTTCTCATTCTCCTTTTTCTCCTTCGTTTTTCTTATTCTTCTTTCTTATTCTCTGTTCTTCTCCTCTTTTTTTTTTCTTTTTTGGATTACCAAGAGGTTCTAGACTAAAGCCTGCAATCTCTCCAGGCTAGAAATCACATCATATAATATTAGTTTTGTCCGAAGCGTCACTTGATCAAGTGACCCCTGAGCTTTTTCTAGGATCCTTTACCAGTAGAACTAACGACACTTGTTACTTATTTGTCTTCTCCTCCATCCTTTCTTCTATGTTATTCGATATTCTCCTTCATCCCTCTTTTTCTTTGTCCCTCCTTCTTATTCTCTTACTCTTTCATGCCTTCTTCTTCTTCATCCATTCTCCTTCTTCTCTGTTCTTCTTTTCTGTTTTTTGTTTCATCTTCTCCGCATTTCTTTTTCTTCTATGTGGTTCTTCTTCATTAATTCTCTTTCTTCTCCTTTGTTCTTCTTCTTCTTCATCCTTTCTTTTCCTTCTTCTTCTTCTTCTTCTTCTTCTTCGTTCCTTTTCCTTCTTCATCACTTCTCCTTATTCTCCTCCTTCTTCTCCTTCTTGTTTGTTCTTCTTCTCCTTCTTTCTCAAACAAAAGAATGATAAATGAAAAGCTATAAGATTAAACATAACAACCATATACACAATAAATAAACTGAAAAATATATTAAATATAATAAAAATTAATTTCCATTAAAAAATATTGATGTTTGGAAAAATAGAAATAGAGAACAATTTTAGCCAAACAAATTAGAGAAAATGTGATAACATAAGTTATTGTTTTCATTTCCCTTATAATTTGTTAAAATCATCTTATAATAAATGTTTTTTTATTTTTTTATTGTGAGTTATGAAAGTCTTTTATTAATTTACTGACTTTTTATTATAATCAATAGGGCGATTTATTAAATCTACAATAAAAGAATTATCAATATTATTTGGAATATTTTTGAAAATATGCT